AACACCAAATTAGTTTCCCTAGCTACAATCATTCTAAGATACAATCATACAACACCAAATTAGTTTCACTAGATTCATCATAGAATGTATATTTCATACTATGTATATTTGATGTTGTATATATTAGAATATGTTCTATATATTGGGTCAAACTTAAAGAAGTTTGACTGAGCGCAAGGCTATAACTTCAAGTAATCTAGAACAGAGAGAGTATTTTGTATTTATTTCATACATGATGTTGGAGCTATGTATGTCTAGTGTGTGCGTGCAATGTATAATGTTCAGTGCAGAACTATTTTTAGCCTAAAGTAATTTGTGTTTTCTTCCAATCGTTTCTAGTAGAAAATAGTTTGTACTATTTTCTTTCAGCAGATTCCACTCAAACAATATACCTTTTGAGGACTAGATATAGAGCCATCTAGGAATCTTTGTGGGCAAACTTGGTTCACTTAAGTTTCCGACCCATTGCTGAAACCCGACCCCCCCCCCCACCCACCTACCCCGGTCTGTCCAGCCACCCACATACAAAAAAGAGTGCCTAGAGCGCAGATGCCTGAATACTTAAAAATTGTAGTTGACTCCAACCGACCGTTGGATTGTCAATCCTATGGATGCTTGTTTTCTTCAACCTTCAGCCAACCGCCGCCCCGTCGATACCCAACCTTCACCACCGCTCATCCTATCGTCACCCCACCCATACTCTCCGGTGACGAACCGCCCACCCCCAAACTATAACCACCCGCAACATGAAGCTCTGTCCTCGGTTCTGCTCCGTGGCCTCGGTCTCCGCATTTGAGGAACGTGAATCACAAACAATTTGCACGGTCTACAAATCGATGAAGACTCCATGAATTTGCAGTCGCCTAACTCTTAGCACAACTGGAAAAAGAACTATAGGTTGGGTGGTTGAAAGTTGAAAAGTCAAAAGTAGAGCCGAACAAAGCATCCACTAGATCGGAGTGATAAGATGTGCACGGGTGCTTTTGGACCGACCATGGCCCTCCCAGCTACGCACACCTGATGTGGACGTCGTTTAAGTCGATAGCAAAAGAGTTTATCCCAAATCAGCATCATCTGATTGCTACCGGTGCGGCGGATAGAATACACCTTTTTTTGTCCGTGATGAGGTAACTTCTATTGGCAGAAAAATAATAACTTGGATGAATAAAGGCATATCCACTTCCAGGTTGTCCGGCACCAGTAACTTCAAGGAGTTTCTATTTGGAGAATCAAGACATTTTTATCCGCCTTGTTCGCATTCCAGAGCTGTGCAAAGCAGAATGACAGATTATTCCAGAACTGTTTCTTGCTAAAAATGACTGATTATTCTAAGCTAGCTGTGCACCAGAGGCAAAAGAACTGCAGCTCTGCAGTGAATTTCAGATTCCATGGAACAAACCGGGGGTTTCTTTTCTTCTGCACACTTGATACAGTTGTACAGTTGTAGCATATATGTTTAGGCACACTTGATACAGTTGTACTACAAAGGCTTTCACACAGCGAACCTACTGGAAATGTTCGATGTCCTCCAGAAAAAGCGGAAACTATTCTGTTCGAATCTAATGAATGGCAGAGCTTCCAGAAAAACTAGCTGTAAGCGAACCCATTTACATCAGCAACAGTTCTTAGCATTCGCCCCAGATTGACGAGCTGAGGAATGACTCTTCAGCTTGATGAAATTCCAGATTTGTGTTGTATTGTGTATAAAATCCATGACATAGCTTGCTCGTTTGGCATCTCTCAAGTCCATGTTGTAAAGTGCTTTTCTTAGACATATCAATGATGAGGACAGCAGGGGGTAAGCGTTGCCTATAATAAAAAATTAAGACAATCAGTACTCAGTTTCCAGGTTCATATTTACATTAGAAGGGAGAAAAACTGTCTGTATCGCTGGTGACCCCAAAACATACATGTTGCAATGCATGTTCAATGATTTTGTGATAATGCCACATGCGCACAACCTTTAAATACTGGTTGGTTCAAGATAAGCCAATGAGCTCATGGATTGGCGACGTGAGCAATCCATATCTTGGAATCTACTCCCTCCGTTCCTAAATATAAGTCTTTTTAGACATTTCAAATGGACTACAACATACGGATGTATGTAGACATATTTTAGAGTGTAAATTCACTCATTTTGCTCCGTCTAGTCACTTGTTGGAATCTCTAAAAAGACTTATATTTGGAAACGGAGGGAGTATTTGTCTTTTTAGAGATTTCAAATGGACTACCACATACGGATGTATATAGACATATTTTAGAGTGTAGATTCACTCATTTTGCTCCGTATGTAGTCACTTGTTGAAATCTCTAGAAAGACAAATATTTAGGAACGGAGGGAGTAATCAGCAGCTAGAACAACACATATTTCTTACCTTGTGCAGTTTGTAACATAGTAATTCTTTTAAATTTCTTACAAATTACAAATTTGCGATTCCAGGGTATCTATGACATATATATTTGTATGGTCTTTCTAATGTAGTGAAAGGCCCCACCTATAGAAGCACAATATCTTTAAACAAAAAAAACTGTACCTCCTGAATATATCTGTCACGATTTGAATTTTTTTGCTATTTACAAAGTATACATATGTTAGAGTACGTAATGGGCCTAATGGCCTGGGCTGGCGGTATAGCCCGTTAGTCTTAGGGTTAATTAGAGATAAGGGTCGCTTTCTTAGGGGTCAAGTAAGCCTTGCTTGGGAGTCAAGTAAACCTCTCTATATAAAGAGAGGAGATGTATCAATCTAATCAAGCAAGAATTAAGAAGGAAATCCCTTCCATCTTGCCCGGCCGTGGGCAAAAGGCCCCCGGCAGGCCCTCTCGCGCCCTCCTTCTAGCAGCGCCATAACAATTTGATATCAGCTAGCTTCGGTTCGATCATGTCTTCACTGCCGCCCAACCCGTCTCTTCCGCTGCCGGTCACGAACGATCGCCCCGCTCCTGCCCGCGCCGGGATCCTCCGTCGCGCCCGCCCCCGTCGTCCTCACCCCGGAGGTGTCCGGGGTGCTGCGGGACCTAACACAGGCGGTCCAGGAGATCCATCTGTTCTTGGCCAGGTCCTATGGGCCGCACCCAGCTGCGCCGCCCATCACCGCCACCACGCCGCCGTGGCAGCCGCCGCACCAAGCGGCCCCCGCCGCGCTCGCCGGGCTGCTGCAGCAGCCGCTGCAGCTGCCATCCATCGCCCCGTCCTGGCTGCCGTGCCAGGCGGCATCCGCCGCGCTCGTCGGGCTGCTGCAGCAGCCGCTGCAACTGCCATCCACCGCCACCACCGCCCCGTCCTGGCTGTCGTGGCAGCCGCCGCGCTCATCAGGCCGCTGCAGCAGCTTCCATCCACCGCCCCGCCCTGGCTGCAATGGCAGCCACCGCTCCTGGTGACCTCCGCCGCGCCCGGCGCTCCGCCGCAGCTGCCACTGCAACTGCAGCAGCCATCACCGGTCAGCTCCGGCCCCGCATCGACCGCGCCGACGGGAGTCCCGATCCACCAGATCAAGTTCCCGCCGTCGCCATCACCGCTTCCCCAGGGCGTCCCCATCCAGCAGATCAAGCTTCCGCCGTCGCCGTCACCGCTTCCAGCTTGGATCACTACCCGCCACGTGTCGGCGACGGTGAGGCTGCAGGCTGCTGCACGCGGCCTCCTAGCGCGTCGGCGTGTGCGGGAGTTGCGTGGTCTGCAGCTGCCGCTCCTCCCAGTTGCGCTTCGCTGCGCAAAGGACCTCGATCTCGTCCGCTGCGTCGGGGATCTTGGGCATGCTGTTTTCCCCACGGACAACGCCCTCAAAGTCTGCGACATCGGCGATTGGGGAGGCGCACCCCTCCTCGCCATTGTCCATCGACAACCCTCCACTCTTCTATGTGCGGTGCCGACCAACAGCCGTCCGGCGGGGAGAAGGCATGGTGTCACCGACAAGAGCGCACCGCGTAGCACCACTGCATTCCGCCGCCGGCCGCCGCGAGGGCGCCTCTGCTGGTCGCTCTTGCAACCACTTCCAGGTGGCCATACATATGCACTGTTTTTGTCCAGATGGTGTCCATGGGATCCAGGTGGCTGTACACGTGCACGTCCGACGTGCGGATGGTATCCACTTTTTGTTAAGAGGTCCAAAATAAATCATCCCAGTCCATTTCAGGTTGAGAGTAATAAAACAAGCCGAGATGTAAAAGGCTTGTTTTTAGGTGTTAGGTTGGTGTTGCCTCGAGTCATGGTTATAAGTTGGTTAGGCTGCAGCTTGAGGACAAGCTGCATGTCCAGGTGGGGTGTAGTGTTAGAGTACGTAATGGGCCTAATGGCCTGGGCTGGCGGTATAGCCAGTTAGTCTTAGGGTTAATTAGAGATAAGGGTCGCTTTCTTAGGGGTCAAGTAAGCCTTGCTTGGGAGTCAAGTAAACCTCTCTATATAAAGAGAGGAGATGTATCAATCTAATCAAGCAAGAATTAAGAAGGAAATCCCTTCCATCTTGCCCGGCCGTGGGCAAAAGGCCCCCGGCAGGCCCTCTCGCGCCCTCCTTCTAGCAGCGCCATAACAACATAAGCAATAGATGACACTAAAATACATGAAAGTTGAGAAAGTCGTGTGTAAGACGTGAGATGCCCACAACATGGTATGGTCGTTGACTCAAAAACAATTCTCAAAACTAGTGTGAAAGTGTGCTTCAAATCTGAAACTGCAACTGTTGGAGGTTATTACGTACAAACAGGTGGTAAGACGGACTTGTATAATACAAACTTTAGATTCTGGTAGACTAGATCAATCACTCAAACTACTAAAAGTTACTCATATTCTTTAAAGACAAACTATACAGAATGATGACACATAAATATCCAACTTTTCTTACTTATAGAGCATGTATCTACCAGTGTACACTGACAAAACTTTATGGTTGGAGCATTAAAAATAATGTAACAAAGCAGTCTGTTAACTTGATAATCCAAACACATGGTGTGAACAGAACGCTGGAAAGCGAGGACTCAATAACTTACTTTGCAAGTTTGAAACACTCAGTTTATAAATGGTAACCCCGAGTGCACTTTCCGTGCATATTCTTCATATTGAGAGCCAAAAAATTGCCTCAAGAAAAATTCTTCATATCTGCTCTCGAGTGAAGGGGTCACAATAAAAACTGTAGAAGAAGCACACAAAATAATATACTTAACTCTTATATGAAATATTCACATTAATTGGGCACATTCTGACAATGGGGAGCCTAGGATATAGAGGTAGAAATATGGTTCTTTTAGAAGGATACGGTATCCGCTTTGCAAAGAAACGCCACAACACCAATGCAAATACAACTGTAGATACTGGATTGCACAGCATAACCTGCGTTCCAACTGCCCATAGAAGAAAGCCTGAATACCCAGGATGCCGCATAAATCTGTACAATTAAGAACATACTTTAGCAGCTATAACCAGTTAGTTTTCTGTTCCTATGATAATCATATCCTATGAACCAAAGGTCTTATGCAGAACTATCACCATGTTTTTTATGTTGCAACGAAAAAAATGCTTAAGTTGGAGCACATGCAGAGGAAGGCAACAACATTACTCAAGACTATAAATGTTGAATTGTGATGCAAGTACCTATAAATTCCATGAGTTACCAACTGATGCTGGTCTTCATACTGAATCCGTATAACATGTGTAAAGGCACGTCCAGCTGTTACAACAGCAATTTTACGAATAATTTCACCAACAAGCACCATCAGAAGGCCAATATTACTGACAAACAGATACCCTTTTATTTCTGGGAAGAAAAGACTTTCTGTCAGGTGTTCCACCATTGCAAAACTCATTGCCAAAACATACTGCTTGCTGATAAGAAGTGCTGCATCAGAAGCACCTTAATTAGCTCACAACATGGTCACGCAGTTACATAATGCAAATTACAATTAAATGGTAAAGAAAGAAGATAAATGAAATAAAGAAGCGGATGCCAATCTATGCATGGTAGTGTTCTTTCAGGGGCTCTTTGGATTTGAGCCAACAGCTGCCAGCAAAAAAGTTGGCGTTGACTGATGTTGGGCATATGTTTGGATGAGCACCAATTATTTGGCTCGCCAACGCTGCATGGCCTTCCTCAGTTCACTTTCACGCCAAACCATGGGTGAGACGCCGGCGAGCAAATAGCTAGCCAATTTTTTGGCGTGCCCGTGATTTGGCTGGGCTAGTATGGGCAACATCCAAACAGCCCCTCATATTCTTTTTGACCATCTTATGTGTCAAGTTGATAACCTATGATTATGAATTTTCTGATTGTGCTAGTATCCAATCAAATAGAGATCTGAAGGACTGGAGTATCACCAAAGAACTAGCCATGGATAGGGGTGCATGGAAGCTTGCTATCACCAGAACCATGAGTTGGTTGCGAGATACTATGGGTTTCAGATCTAGCCTCCCCCGACTTGTTTGGGACTAAAGGCTTTCTTGTTGTTGTTGAACTAAAAGAGTTTAGAGCCAGAGTTAAGTGAACTAAAAAATGCAAGTTGAACAAATCAAGTTTGAATAACTATTTTTAATCATCCCCAATTTGTACTATATATGAAGATAAATACTTATGATGGCTTATGAAGCACTTAATTAGGAAATTAATTCATCAGGCATATTAAAACTTAATTGGTAAAATACTACTCTGTAGAGGCACTCAAATTGTACTTTCTGATTTTGGAGTTTGACCTCAACCTTCATGTCAGCCCATTGGTACTCATTCTTTCTGAGAAACGAGTGGTGCTCGGTTGGCTAGAGCACACGTCTGTAAGCTTACTCACCCGCGTTCAAGGCGCAGACTCTGCATGATGCCTTGTTTCTTCTAAAAGGCCGACATGGGAGCTAGTCTCCATGGGTCAAAAAAAAAAGATGCTTGCTCTTTCTTATCCCCTAAATTTATCACAGTATAGTACTCGGTAGCTTCGTTCTGTTGAGTTCTTAAGCTAAACAGAAAAATTCTTACAATTGCATATAGATCGGACAGCGCAGGTATACCATGGTTGTTTTTCAGTTAAATGCTAGGTAAGAAGAAATTGCCGAGACCATGACACCGATAATTATGCAAATAGGGGAACTGCCAAAGCATGCATTCTGCCAATTCCTCTCAAGTCATCTCAACTATCTAAACAAAATCAAACCACACCAGCAGCAATCCAATTGGATCAGACGAAACGACACATATTGACATCCTCATGGCCCCACATATGTGCTTCACATAACCACATGTTAACCAGGGCGCTGTAATCTAAGCATATAGGAGTACTATACAAGAATCATGTGCATCGGTAGCACCTTCTCTACTCTCTACCAGTAGTAGCATCTAGACAATCTCACGAGCACCGTCTCAGGACGGCAAAGATGGGGGCCGAAGAGGCGATTCACTCACAGGTGGCGGTGACGTTGCTGTGGCCGTGGAAGGCGGCGGCGAGGACGTACTCGGAGCCGTGGAAGAAGGCCAAGGCGGCCGCGAACTGCCACGCCTGCGTCCGCGCCGCCATGGGCACAGCGGGGATCTGGGGACCGGAGCTTGCGCTGGGGCTCAGGGCTTGGGCAGCGGGAAGAGATGCTTGGCGTTGGAGAGGTGCCGGGAGGGGGAGATGCCGCATGCGGAAGCTTTTACTGAGGACCTGGACGGGGACCGGAAAAGCTCGGGGCGGCCACGGCGTCGGCGAGGCGAAGCTGTCGGGCCGCCGGGATGGATAGAGAAAGGGGCGACTCCTATTCCCCGACCCACGCGGTGGAAAGCAAGGTAAACGCACGGGACTTTGGGCCGGCCCATGTAGGGGCGGGGCGCCCCTGCTTTTATATCCTTTCGTTTTTTTATGCTTTTTTTTGCTTCATTAAAAATGTTCGGAATTTCAAACAAAAATCGTATCTCAAAATCTTCACGAATTTTAAAAATGTTCGTGATTTTGATGAATATGATCATGGATTTTAAAATGTTTGTAAATTCAAAAAATGTTCATGCTTTTGAAAATAATTCATGAATTCAAAAAATGTTTTCGAATTTGGAAAACATTCGTCAATTCAAAAAACGTTCATGGGTTCTGAGAAAATGTTCACAAATTTAAAAAAGTGTTCTCGAATTTTTAAAAATGTTTGCGAAATCAAAAATTGTTCATAATTTCAGAAACTATTCATGAATTTGTAAAAACAAATTGAATTCAACAAAATGTTCACGACTTCAAAAAATGACCGCGGATCTGTAAAACTGTTCACAAAATGTAACGAATTTGTAAAAAAAATTACGTGTTTTTTCTTTCAGCTCGGGTTTTTTCTTCTAAATTTTACAGTTGTGTTTCTCGCGGAAGCAAAATTGTACCTCTGTGGAGGAAAAACAAACACGTTTTCCCTTTTCGAGTTGTGCTTCTCGCAAAAGAAGCATGCGCCTCCATGAAAAAATTGTGCCTCTCGCAACAGAAAGAAAAAACATGTTTTATCTCTCTTTTGATAGGCAAATCTGTGCCTCTCGCGGTTCCCTTTCCGAGTGTGCCTCTCGTGGAAGTGAACCTGTGCCCTCACGAGAAGCAAATTTGTACCTCTCGTGTAAGAGAAAAAAATATGTTTTCACGCAAAAAAAAGGATGTTCAAAACCTAGGGAAAAACTAGGCAAAAATCAAGAAGTCATAAAAACAAAAACAAAATAAAAAACCCGAAAACGCGTATAGAAAAAAAATTCCAGAAAATGCCCAGTAGGCGACATGTGGCGGCGGCGCTCTCCCTATGCGATGCCCAATCCTATTTGCCACCAGCGGTCGACAAATAGATTTTTTAGGTGAGGTCGACAAATAGTTATCGCTTTGCTGAAGCAAGCTTTCAGTTGGGCCGGCCCAAGTATGGATTTGCGTGATGTTTTCTTCGATGTTTCTTGCGTTTTTCGTTTTTCTTATGTGGTTTTTGCTTCCGTTTTCTTCACTATTTTGTTTGGTTTTCAGTGGTTTCATTCCCTTTATTTGATTTTTGTGTTTTGGCTCCTTTTTTATTTTTTTTCGTTTTGGTTCCTTTTTCCGGTTTCTTCACTGTTTTTGTTTTGTTTTCAGTGGTTTCTTTGTATGGCGCTGAGTGTTGATCGACTAAAAGGCGACATGTTCAGCGGTTAGGTGTCGCGGAGATGTGCATGTTAAGATGGATGTGTGGCCACACAAGAAAGGGCATATAGTTCGGAATAGCGATATACGAGATAGAGTTGGGGTAACACCGACTGAAGAGAAGCTTGGCCAACATCGTCTCATATGGTTTGGGCATATTCAGCGCAGACCTCCAGAAGCTCTAGTGCATAGCAGACGGCTAAAGCGTGCACATGATGTCAAAAAGGCTAGGGTAACCCGTACTTGACATGGGAGGAGTATGTAAAAGAGAGATCTGAAGGACTGGAGTATCACAAGAGGACTAGCCATGGACAGGGGTATGCTTCTAATATCCAGGCACATAGCCTCGCTAAGCATACTTTAGGACTTTCTTTCAGACGCCATTTATGGCTCCTCGATACTCCGGACCTAAGTTGTATCTCAATGTATTTGGACTATGGTTAATAAATAAAGTGTGTTTAGAATAAAAAAATATTGGTTACAACGCTTGATCGGCTCATGCCATCGCCAATTTTGAAGAAAAAATATCGCTTGCCTGACTACTATGTCAAAAACTAGGCGGTTTTCTTTTGTTAATTATTTCTTAAAAATGTTTGTGTATTTTTAAAAGGTGAGAATGTCAAAAAATGTTCATCTATTCAAAATTGTTTGCGGGTTTGAAAATGTTGGCGAATTCGATAAATGTTCATGGATGTGAAAAAGAAACAGGATTAAAAAATCCATTGATTTGAAAAGGTGTTCACAAATTTGGAAAATATCCATTCATTCAAAATATGTTCACAGATTTGAAAAAAAATCATGAATTTGAAAAAATTTGTGAGTTTAAAAAGTTCACGTATTTAATAAATATTCAAAAAATTGTGGAAGAGTTTGCATAAAAAAATCACGTATTTAAAAAAATGTTCGGAGATCTGAAAAATGTTCAGATATTTGAAAATAAAATCACAGGTGGAAAATGTTCACGAAATTTTAATGAGGTAAACAATAAAAGGAAAATAGAGTAAAAAATGAAAAAAGGAATGTAAACTGAAAAACCTGAACAAAGCCCAATCCAAAAGAAACCAGAAAACTCAACCCTAAAACTGAAAGGCCAAAACCATTGAGGGAAAAATAAAGAACATGAGTCGACCCCGTTAGAACTGACAAATGAATGGTTGTGTGAGCTCCATGTACCGAAGAGCCCAAAATCGGCGCTTTAAGCACTAAATAGGGCTTTTCTTCCCTCGGCCTTCAAAAAAAGCATATAGAGTCTTAGGATAGCATGGATTTGATATCACATAAATAGGTAAAATGTAATTCTTGAAAAAAAGAAAGACATAAGATTGAGGAGAACTATGAATTCTTATGTGATTTTAAAACAATGAAAACATTGTGAGATGTGCCTTTTGAGAGTGCGTAGGAAATAAACACAAGCAGTATTGGTAATCGAGGAGAGACTGTAGAGTGAGATAGAGTAAAAGTGCATTGGATTTCCCCGGGGAGAAACAAAATGAGGTTTAAGCTCATATTGAGATTCCTATGGAACGGAGGTCATATAAATAGATTTCACAATAATTTAGTAGTCCCAATCCGCTAACGGTCTATGAAAATCCTACAATTCAAAGATCCCCATAATGTTCGCTTCATGGGACACCTACAAACCTGTGTGTTCTTCATTAAAAAAGTTAGGTTGTGTTTTATAGAAAAACCTACACAACCGTGACATCACCAATAAACAATCCCCTTACCTAGGAGCAAGATACTTATGATAATAGGGAGGAAATGGCTCTTGCTCAGGAGTCTAACTCTAGGTCTAGCGTAATTTCTAGAATCAACATCATTTTCTCTATACGTTTTTAGTCGTATCTTCATATAAAATCAATTTATGAGACTCATAATCATCTGTGTTACTCAATTGTTAGCCATAAACAAATTAGATAACCGGATGATCATAACTACTTCTATATTTTTGGATGCCATGCTTCTCTTTCGACAATCTATTGACCATTTTTGAGGAGCAGTGAAATTGTAACATGGTTCTTATCACGGTCCAGCTTGACACATGAGAAGTTTGCCATGTTCCCAGGGCTATCATCATGGTCAAGACTCACAAGGAAATAAATAGCAGCAACAGCTCATCATGAAGTGTGTGAGCAAGTTTTTCCGCATCATATAGGTCTAGGAAGTCACAAGTCAGCAACAACAGGGTATTTCCTTAATATTCTACTCCCTCCGTTCCTAAATATAAGTCTTTGTAGAGATTCACTAGATGGACTACATACGAAACAAAATGAATGAATCTAAACTTAAAATGCATCTATATACATCCGTAAATGATTCATAGTGAAATCTCTACAAAGACTTATATTTAAGAACGGAGGGAGTATAATCCAGTCAAATATTCTTTCGTATGACCGTTTCTCGAAGTGCCTCGAACATAAAAACATCAAAGAATATGATAAAAGAGCAATGGAGAGGAGGAAGGTGCATGAGACGCCCATAATTGGATGGCAGTGATGCGCGGTCAACCCACCACGTAACCTGTTTTAACCCATGCGTACAATGCATATCACCCAAACAAAAGTACAGAAGAATCTAGATAAGCAAGGAGACTCGATGCGTAGTGAAGAACAATCTCTTGGCGTGTGGGTGGAGTTATGCGTGCGCACTTGTACTTCCACGTAATTGGCATGGTTATTAGGTTGACCGATTCAACTTTGAACACAGTCGAGTGGACACACGGATACGGTGGCGGCGCCTCACCATCTCGTCTGCGCCCGCTTGTAATAAAAAAAAGGGGGGGAGGAAAAGGACAAACGGTGCATGTGCATGCCACCAGCCACCTGGACCGGGTTCACGGGACAATGCGCCATGTCACCTGGACAGCTTTATCGGCAGAATCCACGACGGGACAGGCAGCCGGCCTACCTCGCACGCCACTGACACGCGGGCTCCACGGGCACACCGCCCCCTACGTCGCGACGCGCGGGGCCAGCAGGCAGGCAACGCATCCACCCTTCATTGTCAACCACGCGCCCGCCGTTGGATACATCGCGCGCGTCCCCTGAGGCCTGAGCTGACCACTGACACGTATGGCCCACGCGCAGACACGCCCACACCGAGGTCTCACGGCTAAAAACAACGGCCAGCGTAGCGCAGCGCAGTCAGCCGGAATAAAATTAAAAAAAGCCCGAGAGGGGAGACGCCTAGGAGCAGGCGAGTAACAAAAAACGGGAAGGTTGGTTGGTGCTTATCCTCCCATTAACCAGTCGTCGATAATCAAACACCCAATCGCCATCGCCCGCCCACAGTATCCTCTCTCCACACGACGGGAAAACAAAACAAAACAGGGGGCAGAAGAAAAGAAAAGAAAAGAAAAGAAAAGGAAAATAGCCGAGGCGAGGCGGAGGAACACGACCGGGGAGGGAAGGAAGAAATTTCGGAAGGGAATCCATCCGCCCCCCGTCGAGGAGCCAGCTCGCCTCCCAGGCCGCGTCACCCCCCTTCCATCCTCCCCCCCGAGAGGAATCCCTAGTTTCCGGGCCGCCGAATCGGGGATCCAAATCCGGAGCCAGTCCACCCTCTTCCTCCCTCCCTCCCACCCACTGCTCTCTCTCTCTCTCTCTCTCTC